TTTTTTTTTTCAGAAAATAAGCTGCGCCAGACAATTACGATAAATTTCACTATTATTATTAAAATGGGATATACATACTGATAGCCAGGGCAGTCTTGGTAATCTTGATAATCACAGGGATCTCGCCGTGAAATTCTTAAAGAATTAAGCTGCCCGTATGCGTGTCGTATACCTATGTACGTGTGCATATGTTTGAGGCTCTAACTGGACGTAACAGTTCAGGATCGAACGGCCTGGCATATCTGTGCCTGGCGACTGAGAGCATTTCAAAAAAAACATCATTAACATCGGGTACCCATATCAACTGTTCGGAATTTCAGTAACAACACTAGCATGGGAAAGCATTAGCACTATTGGTATTTAGTATCATAAACATATTTTTTTGTAGTTCATCATTTAAAGCTATTTATAGCAACCAACCGATCGGTTGTATTCAATGATATCCAATTGTGTTCTGATCTTTGCAAGTTTCATTATTGCTTCATAGATAAAAATTACAGCTATTAAGGTTGCAAATGATTCTTCCGTGAAACGTGTTATATAAGAAACCTGTAACAACAGTAATCGAAGAAATGAGTGGAAAGCCGGAATCGATGAAAGAAAAATCGTAATTAAGGATATTTGACGGTTTGGTACTCAATTTAACATTTCTATCTGCTTTTAAAACTCGTGCTTTTTTGTCTAACTTCCTCGGGCTACTTCTTGAGTGAATTTATCGTATTTTTTTCATCTCTCGTTTAGCCGATTTTAGCCTCACTCAAACACAACACCATTTGCCATGCGCTAGTGCTATAATTATCCAATAAGATCAGTAACACAATACATCCAGAGATGTGTCTGTATGTTGTGTATACATGTACACAGTATGTGTGTGTGTTTGTTTGTGTGCATAAATGCATGTCTTTCAATACATGCGTATAACTGCATTTCGAAATCCCTTTAGTAAAAATGAAATTCTTTTAGATTTTGAGTTTCTATTACAAGGCTGATGCTGTCTCATCCTCTCATTAGTAGCTAAAGATTGAAAAACATTGGAAGGCAATCCATGCACCTAGGCCCCGTGTACGAACTCCCGAAAAAACGTGCAAATTTCATTAGCGGGAAACGATTTCGCGAACCAGGCAAGGCACAAAACTGAGACTTTGCAGGGATATTCTCTGTGCATGTGCGAAAAGCTATATAAATATAATCGTGAAAGTGACGTTGAATATGAAAAGAATGAGAAACTCAGTGAGGTGGAAGGATCAGTTTGAGCGGCTGCACACGAAATTACATGGATGAGAAAGGACCAAAACAGAGATACAGAAGTTATCAGCTTCACCCTGGCGAGAAACAGTATAACGATGGAGCAACAGCTCAGCAAACTATTATTTCAAAAATATAAATGAATTAAATAATAACTGGCCAACGCAGGGACTGCCCGTGCGAAGATGCGTTTTTTGCACAGTTCCCCGCAGTTTTTGTCGCTACCGACATCGATTTTTTCGGAAAATGCTTCTAGCTAAACAAATTAAGACTGGCCGCCAGAACTGGCTTAAAATTTCAGCTTTCTCGCTTCCTGGCTCCTGAGTTAGCAACTTACTAGAAAAAACTTCCACGGCCCGCACGCGGGTACCGACGCGTACCTAATGTCTGGGTTTGAGCTCGTTGGAACTTACATGGACGGGGAACATCTTCCTAAAATTACAGTCAGGTTCTCAAATTAGCAATTTACCCGAAAAAACTTTGGTGAACCCGTGTGTAGGTACCACGCATGACCGAGGACTGGGTTTGAACTCGTTGAGACTAATGCAGACAGACAACATCCTCTTAACATCACAGTCTTCTAGCTTTTCAGGTTCTCGAGTTACCAACTTATCCGAAAAAAATTTTGGGGGGCCCATACGTGGGTACCACGCTTATCCGGGGGCTGGGTTTGAGCCCATTAATACCTACATGAACGGGAAACGTCCACTTTAGATTTCAGCTTTCTAGCATCTCAGATCCCCGAGTTATGAACTTACCCGGGAAACGGCGGGCTTGTACGCGGGTACCACGCTTACCCGGGGCTGGGTCTGAGCCCATTAATACCTACATGGACGGGAAACGTCCACTTAAGATTTCAGCTTTCTAGCATCTCAGATCCCCGAGTTATGAACTCACCCGAGAAAAATTTTGGCGGGCTTGTACGCGGTTACCACGCTTGCCCGGGGCTGGGTCTGAGCCCATTAATACCTACTTGGATGGGGAACGTCCCCTTAAGATTTCAGCTTTCTAGCTTTTCTGGTTCGCGAGTTAGCAGCTTACCCATAAAAAATCTTGGTGGGCTCTTACGCGGGTACCATGCGGGTAGACCACTGATTTTGGGGATAGAGATCCGTACGTGCATGTAGATTGAGCTCCCAAAGTTTCAGCCCTGTAGCTTTTGTAGGTCTCGAGATGAAAAACCGGTACAGGGACCCTGCGCATCACAAAAACACACACACAGACAACCTCTCGTCAGTATACGTTTTCCGCATTGCATCGCTGCAAAAAACGCATAAAAAAAGATACCAGTGCACTAGCGTCAGTGATGACCATGATGAATAAGATGAAGGCAGTCCATACATGAATCCAAAAACGAAATGAGAGGTAGTTGAAATTAATGGTGGCACACAAATCAAAAACAATTGTTTCGAATACAAGTACCGGACCCGTGGAGCCGATAATGGTCAACGGCTGACCACTAAACAAGTGATAAATAACACCACAGATGGCACCACCAAATAAATTCTCCATTGCTGCCTGAATGGATAAAACGCTGATTAGTAGTCGTTTCTTGTGATATTCAGTCTTCTTTCACAAATTTTATGAAAAATCCCTTTCGAGAAAAAATTATCGAAATCAAAACCCCTCCGTATTCGCTCTGTGTGAGAAGCCGAGGCATTCGGCGAATAGCTTATATAGTGGCACAAGCTAAGAGAAATTACACGATGGCAAGCGTGCTTTCAATAACTGCTCAAAAACAGGCTGATGATGAGTTTAACTCCCCCGGCATGTGTCAGTAGCAATTTATTGTCGAAACGAGTGGTAGAGGGCCCGTGATTAAAGGAGGAGTCGAATTTTCGATCTACTGCACAATGACAGTTATTTCTTACTGTTCATGTCTCCTGGAATTACAATAATTACTTCTACAACTCAAATTTTGAAAGGGAACGAATGCAGGGCCGTATCAGGCCAGCAGGATACTGCAGTTCCATCAGGACAAAGCATAGTAACTAAAAAAAA